GTAAGATGATACTTATAACTCCTGAGAACTGTATCTCAAAAGAAAAAGAAATTGAGAGAATAAAAATAGGCAATGAGGAAACAGAAATATAACTCTACAAATGATGATATACTTAGAGAATCCCAGAGTCAACTAAAAAACTACTTAAACAATTAACAACTTTAGCAAAGCTGCAAGACATAAAATAAATCCACATAAATCATCAGTACATTACCAACAAAGCCCAGCAGCAAGAGATAGAGAAATTCCACTTAAAATAACTGTAAATAATATAAAATATTTGGGAGTCTACCTGCCAAGACAAATCCAGGAACTATATGAACACAACCATAAAATACTTTTCACACAAATAAAGTCAGATCTAAACAACTGGAAAAATATCAATTGCTCATGGATGGGCCGAGCTAATATAATAAAAATGACAATTCTACCTAAATTAAGTTACTTATTCAGTGTCATAATCATCAAACTATCAAAAATTATTTTATAGAGCTAGATAAAATAATAACAAAATTCATCTGGAAGAACAAAACATTAAGAATATCAAGGGAATTGATGGAAAAAAAATGCAAAAGAAGGTGACCTAGCCATACCAGATCTAAAACTATCAAAACTATTTGGTACTGGCTAAGAAACAGAATGGTGGAAATGGTTAAGTACACAAGACACAGTAGTAAACAACTATAGTAATCTACTGTTTGATAAATCCAAAAACTCCAGCTTCAGGGATAAGAACTCACCATTTGACAAAAACTGCTGGGAAAACTGGAAAACACTATGGCAGAAACTAGGCATAGGTGTCAGACCAATATCTCACACCTTATACCAAGAGAAGGACAAAATGGGTACATAATTTAGGCAAAAAGGGTGATGCCATAAGCAAATTAAAAGAGCAAGGAATAATTTACGTGTCAGATCTGTGGAGAAGGGAATAATTTATGACCAAACAAGAGATAGAGAACATTATAAAATGTAAAATGGATAATTTTTATTATATTAAATTTAAAAGGTTTTGCACAAACAAGACTAATGCGACCAAAGATGAGAAAGAAAACAGAAAACTGGAAAACAATTTTTTACAGCCAATGTTTCTGATAAAGGACCCATTTCTAATATATAGAGAGAATTGAATCAAATTTGTAAGAATACAAGTCATTTCCCAACTAATAAATGGTCAAAGAATATGAACAGGCAGTTTTCAAATGAAGAAATTAAAGCCATCTGTAGTCATATGAAAAAATGCTCTAAATCAGTATTGATCAGAGAAATGCAAATTAAAACAACTCTAAGATATCACCTCACACCTATCATATTGGCTAATATGACAGAAAAGGAAAATGATAAATGTTGGAGAATCTGTGGGAAAATTGGAATACTAAATGCATTGTTGGTAGAGTTGTGAACTAATCCAACCATTCTGGAGAACAATTTGAAACTATGCTCAAAGGGCTATAAAACTGTGCATACCTTTTTGATCCAGCAATACCACTACTAAGCCTGTATCCCAGAGAGATCATAAAAAGGGAAAAGTACCCATGTACAAAAATATTTATAGCAGCTCTTTTTGTGGTGGCAAAGAATTGGAAATTGAGGGATGCCCATCAATTGGGAATGGCTGAACAAAGTGTGGTATATGAATGTAATGGAATACTATAGTGCTATAAGAAACAACGAGCAGGCACACTTCAGAAAAACCTAGAAAGACTTGTATGAAATGATGCTGAGTGAAGTGAGCAGAACCAGGAGTACGTTGTACACAGTAACAGCAACATTGTTCAATGATCAGCTATGACAGACTTAGCTCTTCGCAGCAACACAATGATCCAAGACAATTCCAAAAGACTCATCTAGAGGAAAGAACTAGGGAGAACTATGCAGATCGAAGCATACTATTTTCACTTTTATTTTTTGCTTTTTCTTTCTCATGGTTTTTCCCTTTTGTTCTGATTCCTCTTTCACAACATGACTAATGTACAAATATGTTTAACATGATTGTACATGTATAACCTATATCAGATTGCTTTGCTGTCTTGGAGACGGAGGAAGGAAAAGAAAGAAGGAGAAAAATCTGGAATTCAAAATCTTATAAAAGTGAATGTTGAAAACTATCTTTACATGTAATTGGAAAAAATGAAATACTATTAAGTGGGAAAAAAAAATCCAAATGCAGAGTAGTGAATGCAGGGCATGAAGGCTGCTGGCTTTGCCCTTATGTAGACATATCCTGGTATGATAGACAAACCTAATTAACTGGACGGTGAATACAACAGTAGAGGAAGATTTTCCTCATGTTGACGCCAAGTTTGGAGTGGTAGGTACAATAGGTACAGCCAACACTAAAAGTATCAGTTTCCTGGGAAAAGACACAGGAAAACTAAAATTTAAGTCTTAGATTTTAACACTGAAATGAAATAAAGAATATAATTTCTCATAGGATTAAAAATGGATCAGTGAATGTTATCACCATTATATAAATCAAAGACCCTTTCTTCATCTTTAGTTTTCAACAGCTAGAGAAAATCTAAATTACATATTCTCCCCCTCTAGGAGAAAAATTCTGATTTGGTCAGTGTTATACTGCATATTACTAACTGAGTTAGTAAGAAAGATATAAAAATACATTAATTTTCTAATGGTTATATGTGTCCTAAAGTTTTTTATTTTGGAAAACCCCAAACTGTCATGGGTTTTCTTAATAGGAAAAAGTTGTATGTTTTTTATTCTACTGCTCATGTATATGTGTATATGTAGATATGTGTCTGTATCTGTCATAAAATACATAGACACATATATTTACTTTAAGGAGTGAATCCAGTTAAAATACTGACCCTGTTGAAGGAAAAAAAAAAGATATCAAAACAAGAGTGTGTTTGTTCTGTCAGCTTGGTAGAGCTAGTGTTTAACTTTTCTATCTTTATTCTTCACCTTCAAGTTATACCACATTATATGATACTAAAGTAGTATACTGTGATTTCATTATATAAATGGGAGAGTTACCATCCTGAAAATCACAAAAGTCTTAATGAAGTATCAGAAAATGTCATCACCATTAACATATTTTTTTTAGGTAATCGGGATTAAGTAACTTGCTCAGAACACAAAGCTAGTAAGTGCCTGAAACCAAATTTGAACTCAAGTCCTCCTGACTTCATGGCCTATGTTCCATCCACTGCACCATCTAGCTGCCCCCATCATTAACCTTAACACTTTTTGGAGTACCAGGCATAGCAGCTAGATCCATTATCAAGAGTAGCCTTAGAATCACCAGAAGCCAAACGGATGGAGGCTGGCTCCTAAGAACTGAATTCACATATTTCTCTGATGGTAGTCCTAATATCAAGCACAAAAAAGAGGTGAAAAAGAAATGATGAGTAAATATAAGAAGGAAGAGTCTAGGAAGTAAATGAGGACCCCTAAAGTATCAGTATGAGCAGTAATAGCCTAACAGCAGGTCAGGGAATAATTTGCCAGGCAAAAACCACCCACCAGGACATGGCATTTGTGCCAGAAGAATACTAAATTCTACATTTGGATATTCAGAAGATCAGATCTCCAATCCAGGGTTTCCATAATGTTTTATCTCCATTTCCTGACTCTTTTCAAAGGAAAGGGGTGAATCAGAGGTGGGCATACCCTTCTTACAGAGATATCTAGGCAAGTTTATCCATTTTCTTCCAGTTATCACTTCCCATTTCTTAATAATCAAAGACACTTCTTACAGTGGCTGGCAAATAGAAGGCCCTTAAATACTTGTTGACTTGTTTGCTACTCTAGGAAACTCCTCAAGGAACAGCACATTAACAAAAATAAGTCAGTACTCTGATTTAAACTTTTGGTCAACTATTCATCTCCATTTCTTCATGTCTTTTACCTTTTTTTTGTATCCCTAGCACTTAACACAGAACCTGCTATAGAGTAGGCACTTAATAAATGTTTATTGATTTACTGATTTCCTCAAGGTAACCATATCTACAGCATAAGTAACTCAATATGAAGCGTACTTAAAGTAATTACTTTTGGCTCTCCCTAGAGGGGCCAACCCCAGAAACTTCCAGAGAAACAGCATCTATATAGTCTGTACTCTATATAGGGCTAGAGGACAAGACCAAGAAGATCCCCCTAGCTGTGCAGTTGGGAGAGGTGATGAGTTCATGGTGAGTTCAATGGAAGGTCTTTACTCGATATCAGTGTCTGAGGCAGTGTATAGGAAGAAAACATCCCGGTTAAGCCCACCATAGATGTGAACTCACGATTCACTGAATTTCTTTTGGTTCTGTGCCTTTCATTGTATGCCCAGCGCTTAGCACAGTGACTCGAATATAGTAAGCGCCTAATAAATGACTGTTGACTGACCGGATCCTGACACTTAAAACTTTCTAGTAAGTACAGTTTGGAATGACACAGCTCGCTTTCTCCACCCCCCACCCAACCCCCACTGTGAGACTTAGGTAAGAAGGAGATGGTGGGGTGGGGGGAGAGGACCTACACAGTATGCAAGTAGGGAAGGTGGAAATAAGAGAAGAAATCAGACACTTAAACAGCTTTATGCCAGGGAGATTGGTTGGACGTGTTTCAACCTGGCATCTCCCGGTCCAGAACAAAAGCACTGGGGCCAAGAAATGAAAAGAGGGCAAGAGGCTCAAGAGGAAAGAAGACGGAGATGGAGAAAGCAGACAATAAGTGTGTGCGGGAGTGGGGGGTTGGGAGGTGGAGGGGAATTGGCAACTGCCCCCCCAAAAAACCTTGTTTTTCGAGAGTTCCCAAAGGACCACGGGGCCCCGTCTTGCACGGCAAGCACTGCTCCAAACGTGGCCCCGGGTGGGGAATGTGGGTGGGGGTGCCACGCTGGGTGCCCATCCCGCGCCTCCCCACCTCCAGGCAGGAACTGAGACTCAGTCCTCCTTCCTCTCCCGCCCCTCACCTAGACCCGGCGGCCAGCCCTCAGGGCACCGCTACTCGCCCGGTAGGTGAGGGTACGCCCCACCTCGATGTCAACTTACCTGTAAGCAGAGGGTCCTCGGCAGAAGCCATGGAGGCGGGGTGGGGGCGCACCAGTACCAGCTCGGAGCTGGGGAGCTCGCTGGGGAATGGGGAAGCGTGGGTAAAAGTGGGGCGAAAGCAAAGTGTGAGGGGAAGGATGGAAACTCCGGCTTTCCCGGGTCGGTCTGATAAAAACACCCCAACTCCTCCTCCTCCTCCTTGTGTCTTCGCTGGCTTCTTCCTTGTACTCACTTCCTGCTTGGGCATGAAGAGAAGCCCCCTCTGTGCGCGTCTCTAGCTCCCTCCCTTCGGCAGGTTCGGAGCTGGGGGGGGGGGCTCCCCGTGGCTTTCCCTGCCTGCGGGCGCTCCGGCTCCGGCCCCGCCGGCCGCTAGCCCTGCCTACCCCTTCGCCCGCCGAAGCCCAGCGCGTCGGCTGCCCGCTCCGGACTCCCCTTTTGCCGCAGCCGCTGCCCAGAGCCGCGAGGACTGATCCCGCAATTGCTTCAGCTTAGCTGCTGCTCAGCACCGGGCTTCTCGATTCCTACCGTGAAATGATTAACCTCAGCCAACCGTAGCCGTAGTCTCACTATATTTAGGCAGACGGCAGTGAACTTTACTGGATGCTACCCTAGCTAGGACCCCAGAGCTACCTGTGTGCAGTAGGCATGGTTTGTGTTATATACGGTAGTCTGATATTTAAGCAATTTCCTGATCTTTATGTAGACGAGGTTCTGATGCATGATAGTACATGCTAATAATTTCTATTTTGATTTTTTTTTTTGCATTAGTCATTACCTGACCTCCCCCGGGGAAGTACTACAACAAAGAGAATGAAAAGATGATTCTCGTTTTAAAACTCATTAGCAGTACCTAGGCCTTTTACTGAAGTGAAGTAGCTACTGTGAATTAGTGTGGAGATGTTTAATTCTTATAAGAAAGCTTAGGATTTCATTTATAAAGATGAACAGATCTAAAGTTGGAAGCAACTTCAGAGGGATCTAGTTCAGAACCTTCATTTTGTAGATGAAGACACTATGACTCAGGTAGGTTAAAAGACTTACCCAAAGTCTCACTGGTAGAAAGGGTAGCTGAGCACTTAAAGGGATTCTTAAGTAGCTAGGAAAGCCCTCCCTCCTCACCTCACCTCATGGAATTTATTAGCTTCCTTCAAAGTTCAGCTCAAATGTCACCTCCTACATGAACCCTATCTTAATTTCCCCAATACAGATCCCAGTTGTTAATAGCTTTCTGGTGAAAATCACCTTGTATATATTTTATATTTAATTTTCTACAAACATGTTCAATAAAACGTAAGCTTTTGGAGGTCAGGGACTGCTTGATTATTAACTTTTTATCCCCAATACCTAGCAAATAGCATTTAATAAACGTTTGCTGAATTGAATCAAATCAATAGATTTTGGTGTGGACCTATGATTTTGTTGGTGTAGAGAATTCTTGGTGTGAAAATTTCCCGTAACTTGCATTTTCAGAGTTGCCAGAGGTAGTAAGAAGTTAAGTAATTTACCCAGGGTCACAAAGCTAGTGAGCATCAAAGGTCACAGACAAGATTTGAACTCAGGTCTTCCTAAGTCCAGATTGGCCATATATCTGTTAAACCATGCTGCTGAAAGGCATAGATAGATAGAAAGATATACATACAGATAAATAGACATACACATATTTATGCATATGTACATACATATGTGCATGTATATATATAAGCTATACTAGTATATATGTATGTATATATAAAGGATATACTTAAATTAGTCATATTTCCAAGTATTCATAAAACCTATTATTAATCACAAAGCTTCCACACATATGTGGTGACACTGAAGTAAATAGAAGTTTGGAGGGATTGTAATATTCCCTAACTGCCATTCATACTCAGGAAGAGAAGGATGAAATTGAATACAAGCAAGTAATTTCTTGCCGTTTACCACAAGAAATTGTTTACAAAGGATGAACACTGCCTAAAAATGGGATTTGTACCATTTTTGTAGCAGTGTATCATATTGTTAATATCACAGACTAAGTACATATTTAACATCAATCACTTGACAAATAATTTATCAAACACTTACTATGTGCTAGGCATTGACCTAATCACCTGGTCTGACCTGCTTAAAAATAACCAGCAAATGGCTGACATACCAAATGATTGACATACCGTCTTGGTGCCCAGGGAGTGGCTCTCTCCTTAGCCCAGGCTGCTTTGTAGTCCTGAGTCCCATAGCACTCTTGAAGATGTCTTCTTAAGTCTCAGAAATGTGCCATGGATGAAACAATACATTAATCAAAGAGATGAGTCTTTAAAAATGGAAAAAATCCTCTGCGTAGGGAAAATAAAATCAGCCTAGATGAAATGTCTCTGGAGAAACTGTGGGTGGGAAGACAAACTTCCTCTCCCTCTGCTCAATGATGGAAAGGGAAATTTTTTAAATAGGTATTTTCTATTGTTACCAGTTTGTATTGTGGTTCTGCTTTTCTCATAAAGTGGCTAATTTTTGAGATAAATCAGCTGGAACTACTTCTAATCAACTCAGGAGATCTTGCCATCAATGCAACCTCAGTGGACGCCCAGAAACTTTTTTTGGTTGCCTTGACTCACAACTATAAACCTCTAAAAACAAAGATTTGTAACCGGAACCCCAAAGTTTGGACTAGAATTCACTTACTGATAACTCTGATGCCTTATTATGTCAAGTAGAAACTAGTAAGATGGGGCGGGGGGGGGTGTTAATGCATGACCTCTTTTTTTATGAAGATTGGATCAAGGACAAACCTTAGTATTTCCAATTCCCTCTGATTCCTGTTAACTTCCTCAGGTCTCAGTACTACCATTTATAAAACAGAATGCATGTAAAAGGGAAAATAATAATTAAACTATCACATGGATCATTATGAAAAAGGAAACTAACAGTATTTACCTGGGTAGCACATATACCAAAATTGGAATAATTAAAAAATTCACACAACAGGAAAAGATTTGTGGGGGGGAGACAAAAGAGCAGGATAACTATGAAATTGATGTGCTGAATTCATTATATATTCTACAATAAATAAGTATGTAATAGTGTGGAGGTTCTCAACTTGGGGTTCTTGGACTTGTTTTTTAAAGATATTTTGATAATTGTATTTCAATATAATTTATTTCCTTTGTAATCCTCTGTATTCATTTTATATGACATTATTAAAAACATTATTCCGTAGAGTCCATAGGTTTTACTAGACCAGAAAGAAGTCCATGACACACAAAAGGTTAGGGAGCCTTATACAAACATTCATGGTTTCATATACAATCTTCTTTCTATTTTTTTGTATGTGGAAAAGTTCATATTTGTCAAGTTTAGATGAAATTTTTTTTAAAAAGAATAAAAAAGTGATAGAAATCATTGCAAAAATAAAATACTGCATACAGATACTCGTAATTATCTTCACTTTCCCTTGAGAACATTAAAAATGGACAAAATGATCAGTCAATGCAAAAAAATTTCCTTGAATTTAACCTTTCTGATCCACTGGGGTTTCCCAAGAATTTGGTTTTTTTATATAAACTCAAGTTGATGGCACTCTGTTTCTTCTATGTTAAGCATTTTATTTCCATTGATTTTTCCTAGCAGAGCCTATGCCTAATTTCATTTGAACCTCCTTTCTGCTGACTGCCTGGCAAGAAGAAACAATTAACAGATGTCTGTTGAATCAATATTGACTTGTTGACTAAAAGAACCTTATTGTTTAGTCAAGCATTTTGATTCTTCTAAATGGAATTTGATTCTTCTAAATTTGTCAGTGGAACTCCAGTGAGCTCGGTCTATGAGTTAAGCGACAAACCTCATAGATTCACCAGGGCTATTCATCACTTCTTTGACATTAGATACAGTTTACCTTTGCATTTGAATAGCACCATGGTACTATGAAACCTTGGGCATACTGTGATGTCTTGACTTGGATCTAAGTGAAGCAGAGTTACACAAAGTCATCAGCCTCACTCTCTCTTCCAAAGTCATAGAAGTCTAGTGGCAAGACAAAACTCAGGACAAATGGCGTGGCCCTGGAGCAGTGGATGACCTTGTTGTCTTTGATGTCTGGCCAAACTCTAAGGATTCCAGAGCATCAGTTTCAGCTGCCTTTGTGGCTTTGGGAACAAATTGTTCTCATCCACCCATTCCACTGGAAGGGGTCTTCATATGCTATGGGTCGATACCCCCTAATTCATGGACAGGTTTGTGCCCTACCTGTTACCCTCAACCTGGTTTAGCCTATCAATGGTGATGGTTTTACTGGGGTGGGGCTGCTGCGCATGCTACTGCTTCTTGGAGCCACAGGTGAGAGTTGAGTGCCTGGCCAATAAGTGCTTAATAAATGTTTATTGACTGATTGACAATCACATGTTAGTTTTATTCTTCTATCAGAATTGAACCAATATTTATCACAGTACTTCTCAACTTAGTGGGAGGGGATAACAAAATCATCAGAGAAGGAATAAAAGGATCACCAAATAACTTTTCAGGAGAAGACTAAAATATAATGGGAAACAGGAAGGAGGCAGGAGAAATACCTTATTTTTTTTAAAAGTATTGATATCTTTTGTTTTTATATCACCTTCACTCTCCGATATCTTTTATATTCTTATAATAAAGAATAAACAGAAAAGGTGGGGGGAGGAAGCAGTTCAGCAAAACTACAACACATCAACCAAGTGCAGCAACCAAGGTCACACACCTGGAGTGCACTCCCTCATCTCTCTCTTCCTTTACGATGCAGCTCAAGCACCATTGTCTTCATGAAGACCCTTTTTTTGGTTCTATTCTATTTTAGATTTTTTTGTGCTTTTGTTCTATTCTATTCTAGATTCAACTACTTTGTACATATTTTTATTTATTCACTTTATGCTACATATTTATACTCTATTTGTTGTCTCTCCCATCATCAGTAAACTTCTTGTTTCATTCTTTGTTCTTGTATTTCTTGTTGCCTACTCACACAATGCCTGGTACATAGTAGGTTATTAGTAAATACTTATTGATTGATTGATACAACAATATAGGCAATGTGCCAAACCCATAGTTTCCCACCTCTGGAAAGAAGGGCTTAGGGGCAGCTAGAGTGGATAGAGCTCTGGCCTTGGAGTCAGGAAGTGTCCTCAGACACTTGATGCTTACTAGCGGTCTGACCCTGGGCAAGTCACTTAACTCTGACTGCCTCAGCAAAAAAAAAAAAAAAAAAAAAAAAAAAAAAGAGCTTAGAAGTACATTCTTATTGCTCAGAAAAAAAATTCAAAACATGC